TGCAGCAGAGGTGGACGGGCAGTACAGACCCAGGGGTGTCAGCCATGCAGCCCGGCCCTCAGCCCAGCCTCTGCATCCCCAGCCCAGCCTGGTCCACAGGGAAGGCAACTCAAGGATGCCACTGGACAGTGCCACACACAGTAGGTGTCCGGGCCCGCCCTCCTGCACTGTGCCACCTGACTGCCCACAACCCAGCAGGCAGCCCTGGGGCCCTCTGCCCACTTGCTCTCACAAGCCCACTGCCCTCTGTGCAAGCCCACTGTGTCCAGGCTGGTTGCCCATGCTGGTCCCTCGCCGTTCCCTCACCCCAGGGCCTGCACCATGTGGAGGGTCCTCAGCTCTGCTCAGAGTCACGGCTGAAGTGTCAATCACACTGGAAAGTACAGCAACTCCTAGGCCATGTTGACACGACACCCCAGCCACCATGAGAGAACACGGCCGCAGCCAGGGCCAGGGCCTGCCGCTGACTCAGCAGCTCGGGAGGGAACACCCCAGTCATGCTCTAGGACAGTTGCGGGCACGGAGGCCTCTGGCCAGGAGCGTCCAGCCCAGGTCTCCAGGCACACCGGCCTTCACCAACACCCACCGGCACACTGCTGTTCAACCTGCACAGACTCCCAAGAGGAACAGCACAGCTGACTGGGGGGCAGGAGCCTCTGCCAGGCCAGCAGTGCGTGTACCCAAGGTGAAGAGTGGGGATGGGGCACTCGGGCACAGTCCCTGCAGCCGAGGCCGAGGGGCCAGGGCTGCACAGGACGCGCCAAGCTCCAGAGCCGCATGCAGAAGCTGGAGGGGCCCTGAGGGCCACAGGGGAACTGCCCGTTGCCAGCTCCACTGCCTGCTCAGAGTGGGGGCCACCAGTCTCCCAGTGGGCCGCTGAGGACCCCCCATATGGCCCGGCCTGAGCTTGGCCACAGGGACCTGGGCTTGGGCCCGGGTCCAGCCCTGCCCGCTGGTTCCAGGGCAGGGGGAGCACACCATCACCAAGCACTCTGAGACCAGCCTGCTCCTGAAGCCAGCACCTGTCCCCTGGGCTAACCCTGTCACACGCACTGGCCCTGAAGCACAGCCACCGAGGCAGTCCCCTCCCCCAGGGCGTGGCCCCAAGGACAGCTCCTGGCAGAGGAGCGGGCAGCGGGCAGCAGAAGCACAGGCGGGGCCCTCTGGCACAGACAACACACGCAAAGAAACGGCACATTTCAAAACTGCAATTAATTTCCTCTGCTCATTAGTCAATTGATTCAATTAACTGAGCCCTGAAAAGAAAGTGCAGACATCTCGTGTGCCTTCTCTGGCCACTGTGCCCGCCTGATGGTGTGACCTCCTGAGGGAGGACAGGGGCTCCTGGGCCTGAGCCAGGTCCCCAAGGCTGGGGCCCTGAAGCACCCACCCCATCACAGAAAGGGCTCTGGGACCAGCTCAGCCCTGCAGACAGCACAGGGAACCCAGGGAGACATGTGCCCTGGGCCAGAAGCAGCAGGGGAGGAGAGAGAAGAGCAATGCCCAGAGGATGGGGAGGACAGGTATGTCCAGCATCCAGCAGAGGGGGATCTGGCCAGGCCTGGAAACAGGACAGGGCCCAGGACAGCACACAGACCGGATCCTGAGTCCACAGTGTCTCAGAACTGCATCACAGAGTCCAGCTCCTCACACGGAAAGAGTCCTCTAAGTTAAAGCACAGGGGAGGCCTCGGGCCTGCTCTTAGGGGGCTCTGGCTGGGCATCTCAGAACCTTCAGGAGACCCCCAGAGACACGGGGCACCTTTGACACTGCCGTGACTTGTGGATCAGAGCCCTTCCAAGCAGCCTGGGACGCATGGAGCCAGCGTGGAGCCAGCACAGAGCCGGGGCGCAGCAGATCAGCCCCTGGAAGGCCCCTGTTCCAGTCGCCCAGGAGGAGAGCAGGGAGCACCTGGCCACCCCACGGAGGCGGTGCTGGGAGCCTCGAGCAGCCTGCCCAGAAGTGCCCACCGTGCTTCACGCTTTGTTTTTACGTTTTCTGAACAGACGGCACAGATGGCTCCGCGGGGGAGCTGGTGCAGAGGTGGCTGGCGGCGGGCACACAGGGAAGTGCTCCCACGCACTCCTGGAGGCCCGGAAGAGGAAGGAGCATCCACTGTGCTTGCAGGGCCTCCTCCCCAGCTTGAGGCTCCCCAGGAGAGGCCCTGGCTGCCCGGGGCTCCAGGCCCAGGTGAGCGGGGAGATCATCCCAGGTGCCGCCAGGGCCCTTCCCTAGACTACGGCTCGTCCCACCCCACATCAGCCCCATGTCCAGCTGAATGTGGGAGAAGCTCTCCGGGCCCCTTCCCACCTAAAGGTGCCTGGGTGACCAGTGCCAGCCAGCAGAGGCCTCGCCCCACACTCCCCTGCTTTTCAGAGACGGAGGCTGAAGCTCCGAGGTGCCAGACTCTGCCACCTCCTGCCTCTGTCCCCGGGAGGGGTAAGAATGGGCTCCCTGTCCTATGGCCCTAGGTCCCTGGGACAGAGGCCTCAGGGATACGGCACCTGACAGGGTCCATCCCTGGAGCCCCCCCGGTTGGGGAGGACTGGCCCAGCAGGACAGGGTGGGGTGACCACCCTGAGACCCAGCCCCACAGCACAAGGACAGCCAGGGGACAAGGCCCGTGCTGGCTCACGTGCAGGGCTGCTGCCAGGGCAGCACCTTCCCTTCCCCGGGAGAGCACAGAGACCTCAGGAGGTACGGGGACCAGAGCCTTCCAGAACCCCACAGAAGCCACCTCTGAGGGGACATCAGACTTGGGAGTTGGTGCTCCGCTCACCCAGGTGTGGCCAGGCAGCAGGACAGGAGCCAGCAAGGCCCACAGTCCAGCCAAGCCTGAGGGGACAGAGAGGAGCCGCCTCCAACAGAGAATGGTGGGGTTCCCGCGCCCAGACCGGAAGCACCAGGGGCTTCCCGACCCGTTATGGTCAATAGGTCCAACTCAATGCCTCCCTGGTAGCAGCCCCAAGGAGACCAGCACTCCAAGCAACTGGTCCCTGGCCCCAGATGGCCCTGGGCAGCCCCACTGACCCCTGGGGATCAGGCCACCCAGGACCCCCAAAACCAGGCACAAGAGGCCACGAGGGAGGCTTGGCCACAGCCCTTTGGGATCCAGAGCTCCAGAGCACATGGACCATCGTTCCCAGAGGAGACAGAGGGCTCCGGACACAGTCTGAGCTCAGGGTGGGGGGTCCCCTCTTGACGTGGCCTGAGTGCAAGGAGGCCCCAGCACAGAGCAGGGGACGCCCACCCCAGCCAGATGACAGCCGTGTGGGCAGCTTGCAGCAGGGACCAACAGTGCAGGACTCAGGCGTGAGGGCAAGTGGGCCCCACCTGGTGAGGGACAGCCCCTCTTTTGTCCCCTCACCTCCCCCCACTGGTCTGCTGCAGCTGATGTTTCTGGAAAACCCAACAAAGCCGCTGCCGCCTCATTCCGACCCCTTTCCTTGGCAGGGCTTGGCTGGGGGACAGAGCCCGAGGCTGTTCCAGTGGCCCGCAGACACTGCCCAGACCCCCACTGTGAAAACTGTGCTCCCGCCAGGCACCTTC